TCGAGAGGTAAATAAAATGCAGAATGGAAGAATGTACCCAAGAGAAACTAATGTGAAAATAAATTTGCTACCTAGAACATAAAGCTCACTCACCACCATCCATACTGCAGACAATGGGCATTGCATTCCGGCACTCACAGCTTTTCCAGCACAGTCCAGTATCCATACCCAGGACTGCTGTTAGAAACCACGAGGGCCAATACAGCCAACCTGACAGGGCTCCTGCAAATAAACATAGTTTACTATGCTTCAGTTATGAATGAACACAGTGAGTAAATGGTACCAATCACTCATTGTGTTCATTCAGGAAAGGAAAAGGCTGGTAAATGTGACATATTTACCTGACTCTTCCCCCACTCTCCATCCTGAAGGATTCTATTATGTGCTTGCAGCTTCCGGTAGGAAGGAGATGGGGACGCTGGCAGCACTGTGGGGGTTTATGCAGCATGGGGAAATGTATGGTGCATAGGGAGGGTGATGATGGGGCAATTGCTGGAACCAATTCCATGTAGCAGCTGAAAGACAGTGGGAGGGAGAAGAAGAAGAAGCCAGCTTTCAGCTGCTGCAGAGAGAGCCGTACAGGGAATCGGTTCCAGTAACGGATCCCCTGCTGAGATGATCACCCTTCCTGCCCACATCTGATTCACCCAGCTGCCTGGGCCCCCCTGCTGGCTTGGGCCCCATACAGGAGGACCGGTTGTACCCCCTTATCTACTGCCCAGTCCATACCATGAATGAGCACTGCACTCCAGTACCCACATCTCACTCCCCAGTATCCATACTATTAAGGGGCATTGCACTCTAGCACACACAACTCACCCCTGACTAGCCATACCACTATGATCATTGCATTCCAGTACATACAGCTCTCTTCCCGGTATCCATACCACTATGATCATTGCATTCCAGTACATACAGCTCTCTCCCCAGTATCCATACCACTATGATCATTGCATTCCAGCACATACAGCTCTCTCCCCAGTATCCATACCACTATGATCATTGCATTCCAGCACTTACAGCTCTCTCCTCAGTATCCATACCACTATGATCATTGCATTCCAGCACATAGCGCTCTCTCCTCAGTATCCATACCACTATGATCATTGCATTCCAGTACATACAGCTATTCCAGTACATACAGCTATTCCAGTACAGCCCAGTATCTATACCATCGATGAGCCCTGCACTCCAGTACACACAACTCACTCCTTAGTAACCATATTATCAAGGAGCATTGCACTCTAGCACACACAACTCACCCCCCGAGTATCCATACCACTATGATCATTGCATTCCAGCACACACAACTCACCCCCGAGTATCCATACCACCATGATCATTGCATTCCAGTACATACAGCTCTCTCCCCAGTATCCATACCACTATGATCATTGCATTCCAGTACATACAGCTCTCTCCCCGATATCCATACCACTATGATCATTGCATTCCAGTACATACAGCTCTCTCCCCAGTATCCATACCACTATGATCATTGCATTCCAGTACATACAGCTCTCTCCCCGATATCCATACCACTATGATCATTGCATTCCAGTACATACAGCTCTCTCCCCAGTATCCATACCACTATGATCATTGCATTCCAGCACACACAACTCACCCCCGAGTATCCATACCACTATGATCATTGCATTCCAGTACATACAGCTCTCTCCCCAGTATCCATACCACTATGATCATTGCATTCCAGCACATACAGCTCTCTCCTCAGTATCCATACCACTATGATCATTGCATTCCAGTACATACAGCTCTCTCCCCGATATCCATACCACTATGATCATTACATTCCAGTACATACAGCTCTCTCCCCGGTATCCATACCACTATGATCATTGCATTCCAGTACATACAGCTCTCTCCCCAGTATCCATACCATTATCAGCATTGCATTCCAGTACATACAGCTCTCTCCTCAGTATCCATACCACTATGATCATTGCATTCCAGTACATACAGCTCTCTCCCCAGTATCCATACCATTATCAGCATTGCATTCCAGTACATACAGCTCTCTCCCCAGTATCCATACCACTATGATCATTGCATTCCAGTACATACAGCTCTCTCCCCAGTATCCATACCACTATGATCATTGCATTCCAGTACATACAGCTCTCTCCCCAGTATCCATACCATTATCAGCATTGCATTCCAGCACTCACAGCTATTCCAGTACAGCCCAGTATCTATACCATTGATGAGCCCTGCACTCCAGTATGCACAACTCACTCCTTAGTAACCATATTATCAAGGGGCATTGCACTCTAGCACACACAACTCACCCCCCGAGTAGCCATACCACTATGAGCTTTGCATTCCAGTACATACAGCTCTCTCCCCGGTATCCATACCACTATGATCATTGCATTCCAGTACATACAGCTCTCTCCCCAGTATCCATACCATTATCAGCATTGCATTCCAGTACATACAGCTCTCTCCCCAGTATCCATACCACTATGATCATTGCATTCCAGTACATACAGCTCTCTCCCCAGTATCCATACCACTATGATCATTGCATTCCAGTACATACAGCTCTCTCCCCAGTATCCATACCATTATCAGCATTGCATTCCAGCACTCACAGCTATTCCAGTACAGCCCAGTATCTATACCATTGATGAGCCCTGCACTCCAGTATGCACAACTCACTCCTTAGTAACCATATTATCAAGGGGCATTGCACTCTAGCACACACAACTCACCCCCCGAGTAGCCATACCACTATGAGCTTTGCATTCCAGTACATACAGCTCTCTCCCCGGTATCCATACCACTATGATCATTGCATTCCAGCATATAGAGCTCACTTCCCAGTAGCCATACCACTATGAGCCTTGCACACAGATCACGATACACCCACTTTCATAACAAAAATACCTACACATCAAATACCTACACCTCAACTCATTTATCTCTGCACTGCTATGTGTTAAGTGAGGTAGTTGATCAAATAGGACATGTGTGATTTGCTGACCTATTGTATATTACATCTGTTATATCCAGTGCATCATGCCTCTTTATTACAAATAGTGTTTCATACCTCTCTTTTTATATCTAGTGCCTCATGTATCATTTCCTTCAGATGCAGGGTTGCTTTTTGATCCCTCCTCCTAGTTCTAGCAAACTGGTGACCTGCACTGATTAGAAGGGAGGGTCATCAGTGGTAACAGTGCTAATAACGCTCCTCTTCAGAGTGCAGGCAAGGGTGTATTTACCACAAGGCAAACAAGGCATTTGCCTCGGGTTTCACCATTCAGGGGGGCACTGCCCCCAAAAAGAAAGGACAAATGTGGCATGGGGTGCAGGTGGGATCTGAGAGAGGCTGAAGGCTGCTTGATGGTATATACAGAGCCTGACTCTCCTTTCCAGGGATGTCCGAAGCTGTGAAAGTGAGTGTTTTCTCTCTCTCTCTCTCTCTCTCTCTCTCTCTCTTCTGGGGGGGGGTGGATGGATCCCTCAGGTGAGGGGGCAGGGGCATTGTAGGTCAATGTCAGGCTCTCTCCTGGGGAGCCAATATTCGTTCTTCCACCAGCTGGCAATGCTATTTCACCTGCACTTAGTGGTATATTTAGGTTTTATGCTGCCCTAGGCAAAAAAATTCTAGTTGCGAAACGTCAGCCACCAAACCTTAATGACTTTGAGAGGATCTGCTAAGAGGAGTAGGCCAAAATCCCTCCCGAGATGTGTGCAAACCTGGTGGTCAACTACAGGAAACATCTGACCTCTGTGATTGCCAGCAAGGGATTTGCCACCAAGTACTAAGTCATGTTTTGTGAAGGGGATCAAATACGTATTTCCCTCATGAACATACAAATCAGTCATCATTTGTTAGACATGCATTTCTTTAGAATTTTTTGTTGCTATTCTGTCTCTCAGTGTTACAATACACCTACCATTCGATTTTTAGACTGATTATTTCTTTGTGAGTGGGCAAACATTCAAAATCAGCAGGGGATCAAATACTTATTTCCGTCACTATATATATATATTTTTTTATTATTTATTTATTTATTTATCTTGAAGCTTCAATAAATCTTTTTATTTTTTTTATTTTTTATTTTTTTTACAAATAAACATCTCAGAGTACTCTTTTCCCTGCATGCACCTTCTGTCTAATTGAATCTCCTTATAGAAATGTCAGAAAAGAAGAACAGAGGAGTCACTGCTCTGACCACATTTTGTGTTAATTTATGCTTGAGCTATTGTTGTCTATAAACAAACTTTTTTCAACAGTTGAGCTAAGGAGAGCCTTGAAAATGTGTAAAAAATGATCCAATATGTAGGCATCTGCTGGCTGCAGAATACGATAATATTCATATCTAATATTTCATATTTACCCACCTAAAAAAATCTAATTATTGTAAAGTAATGTAAATTATTATATAATTACTATATACAATTCTTTCATAATTAATATTATAATTGTATATTTGAAATGTTATAGGCATTACTGTGATCTACCAGAAATGTACTCAGCTCTTTCTTCTTGTGTGCTGAAAAGATGAAGCATTTTTGCAGACTGAGTGGTATCAGCTCTTCCTAATTGTCTTTTGCTAAACTTTTCAACCCCCCCCCCCCCTGGTCACTTCAATATAAAGGTTAACCATTCTGTAGTCCCAAGATAAGAACTGGTAAGGCTAATTATATTATTTGGAATAAACCAGGTAGTGTACATGTCATGTCTGAATTTCTGGCAGGATCAACATGTTTTTGCACTTCTTGAACAGTGATAATAATACATGTTTATTGATACCTTTAACAGGCCTAATGACAAATTAGAGAGGTATATTAATAGGGTTTACATATACTTTAATGTTCTTTGTACAATTTCAGGCTGGTCCCAGAAGCAGTGCAAGGTGCAGGTTGTCAGCACTCAGGTATTTGCACCATTCAATGAGTCGGTTCTGTTAAATTGCACTTACACCTGTACCAAACCAAGCTGGGAGTCCAGACTACAGAAGAGGAACATACAGGAAGGAGACCGGTGGGTGTCCACGGAGGTCCTTGTCAATGACTGGGAAAAATCGAATATTTCTTGTATATCAGATGATAAGGAGGAATTGCTGAAATCCACCGTGACAGTGGCAGCCTATGGTATGTTTAATAATGTTCATTTTATTTAATTGACTGCTTAGAATTATTGCATCAAAGACTATCACACACAACCTAAAAAGAAAGCACAGTAGAGGACATTAATCAAAACTGTCTTATTGTTTGAAATTGATAATTTGTCACATATATTTAACCTCCCTGGCGGTATTCCCGAGTGTAGCTCGGGGTAAAGTTTCAGTACCACAAGCGGTAACCCCGAGCTACACTTAGGATTACCATGCGGCGTTGCTCCGCGATCCCTCGATCACTTACCTTGTCCTGCGTTCCCATGATGTCCCTCCTGCAGTGTCCCCGGCAATGTAATCCAGTGGATGCCAGCATCTGTCATCTGTGTTCCGTCCCCTGCGAGTGTCGGGTTGTACGGGGGGACGGAACGGTGGGAAATTTGAAAATGACAAAAAGTGACATTCACTAAAATCACATAGTAAAACATTACTGTATCAAACCATTTCACATACATTTTGTCCCGAGTGCTTTGTCCTGTGCCCTGCCTGCATTTTTACTGTTCTTTCTGCCTGGAAACTGAGAAACGTCCATGGCGTCCAAAAAGCGTCCCTTTAGGTCAAAATCGGTTTTAGACCGGCTAGAGAACAGCGATAGTAAATCAGAACCACTTGCAGAATTGAGTGATAATGATTTGTGGGGAAATTCGTCATCAGACACTGAAAACGATTTTGCGACTTTGCTCAGTGATGTGCGAACTTGGCGCTATATTTCAAATTTCAGTGTTTTTGGTTTGATAATATTATTGAATAAAATTTTTTATTATTATATTATTATTTTGTATGATTATTTATTAAATTATAATTTATAATTTCGCGTTTCAAATTTTAACATACCCGGGATGTTTAATAGACTCTTGTTCGGACAGATTTCAGTGAGTTATTCCTAAAAATTACAGGCATACCGCCGGGGAGGTTAATGCTTGAGAGACACATTTATTTTATGTATGCATTTGCTTAATAAATTTTACACTGGTAAAATAATACATTTTGGTTTATGTTAAAGAAGTAAATACAAGTGATTGCAGTTGTGGAAAACTAGTTGTGCGGTCACTTTTCAGTCCCAGTTTTGAGCAAAACCAAAACTGTTGTTTTGCCAGCAAAACAAACCCAGAGGTTAATGCTGCTGACATTTTTCCATACAAAATGCACAAGATTTATTATATAATTGCATAAATAAATGTCCCCCAATGTGTTTCCAGCAAGCACATATTTCGAGTTTTCATTGCAGTGTTTTCCTTAAAGCAAAGTTCTACTCGATCTATCAAAAAATAAAAGTCAGCAGCTACAAAAACTGTCGCTTTAAATGACAATTTGCCTTCATCTGAAATTGTCTTCATATAAGCCTCTTGTAATATCCTATATAGCTCTCCCTCTCTCTCTCTGCTCTTCCTCTCTCTCCTCTTCCTCTCTCTCCTCTTCCTCTCTCTGCTCTTCCTCTCTCTGCTCTTCCTCTCTCTATCTCTCTCGCTCCCTTTCTCTCTCCACTCTCCCAATTATTCTTAATGGCATCCCCACGCATTTAAAAATGAAGCACGTTTTCAGATGTGGGAACCAACGGGAAAATGCATGGTGGGAAAGCACAATGCGATTTCCCGGCCACTGTGGTTCAGAAATGTTTTATTACTCACATAAGTACATTATCTATATCAGTGATTGTTACCTGCCTACCTTGTGACCTGCCCAACTTTTTCTGCCCATCAGTTATCCTTGTTAGTGTATTTTATGTGCAGCCCAAAACAATTCCTCTTCTTCCAATGTGGTCACGGAAGGCCAAAAGGTTTGAACAAATTCATTTACCCATTACAGCTAAAAAGGAATAAAAAAGTAAATTATATCTAAAAGCAAAACTTATTTTTTCTTTTGATTGAGCAGGGAAGGGTTTGGATCCTCTGTCAGGTTTTATTGCTGTTTGTTTCCTTACTGGGGACATTCAAACTCAGTATTTTGCTTGGTGAACATTAACACGAGGATTGAAAATGAGAAACATTCAAATATTTGAGCTGTGACCAAGACAGGAAAAGGAGAGAAAGTCTTTCTGTGGAGAGAATTCCTCATATTTCCTGACAGAAAGCAAAGAGAAATCTCCCCAGTGGAACACGGAAGGCAGAAAAACTGACAGAGGATTATACCTATTCACTACTCCATCCGAAATTAATAAATAGTTTAATTTATTATTAGGACTTATAGAGTGGCAACAGTTTGCGCAGCACTTTACAATATAAAGGGGGACAGTACAATTACAGTATAAATGGAGGGGAGGGGAGGTGATACAAAAGGTAATAACTGCGGTGGATGATCTGATGGAGGTGACTCAAAGACAGTTTTTAAGTGGAGGTAGGGTAGGCTTCCCTGAATAAATGAGTTTTCAAGGATCGCATAAAGGCGGAGATGGTAGTAGCTGACCAGACATCCCGGGGTAGGGAGTTCCAGAGGATGGGAGGGGTTCTGAAAAAAAAAGTCCTGGAGGCAAGCATGGGAGGAGTTAACAAGGGAGCTAGAGAGCAGGAGGTCTTGGAAGGAGTGGAGAGGATGATTTGGGCGATATCTGTAGATGAGGTTGGTGATGTAGCTGGGGGCAGTGCCATGGATGGCTTTTATATGTTGTTATTATTATTATCATTATTATTATACAGGATTTATACAACACCAACAGTTTGGTCAGCGCTTTACAATATATAACGGGAGACAATACAGCAACAATACAGTTCAATACAAGAGGGTTAGGAGGGCCTGATCCTGGGAGCTTACAATCTAAGAGAGAGGGGCTAGTGGTACAAAAGGTAATAACTGTGGGGGATGGACTGGTAGGAGGATTAGAAGATTCCATTGTTAGCTGAGGGCAGGATAGGCTTCCCTGAAGAGAGAGGATTTCAGAGATCACCTAAAAGTGAGCAGAGTAGACGATAGTCTGATAAATTGGGGTAGAGAGTTCCAGAGGATGGGGGAAGCTCTGGAGAAGTCCTGGAGATGAGCATGGGAGGAGGAGACAAGGGAGCTACAGAGCAGAAGGTCGTGGGAGGAGCGGAGACTACGGTTTGGTTGACATATTTGGAGACAAGATTGGTGATGTAATTTGGGGCAGAGTTATAAATGGCTTTATATGTTATTGTTAAGGTTTTGAATTTTATCCATTGGGCAATGGGAAGCCAGTGGAGGGATTGGCAGAGAGGGGTGACAGATACAGAACAGTTAGTAAGATGGATGAGTCTGGCAGCAGCATTCATGATAGACTGAAGAGGGGATAGCCTGTGATGAGGTCGGCCAATGAGGAGGGGAGTTACAATAATCAAGGTGCGAGATAACCAGGGAGTGAATAAGTTGCTTAGTGGTTTCAGAGGTTAACTCCTTCACGCCGGTGCTTCCCGGCCCTTTAAGAGTTTCAGAAGCTGGGAGGCGGGACAGGCGGGGTTTAGGGATCATGTGACTGCCGTGAAAGGTCCCGATCGAAAGAGGAGACCGAGACCTTTCCGTGAGTACCAGACATGTGTGCTGGGAGCGTGCAGGGTGCGCGTTACCAGCACAAATGTTTTTTCTTAACAGAACGCAAATGTGCGGCCGCTCGGCATCTAGGACCAGACGCCAGGAAGCTGCACATTTGTGTGCGGCCGGCATGAAGAGGTTAGGAAACGCGCATATCTTGGAGATGTTGCGGAGGTGAAGTCTACAAGATTTGGACAGCAACTGGATTTGGGGGTGAAAGGACAGATGGGAGTCTAGGATTACACCTAGTACTCTGGCATGAGGGGAGGGACTGATGGTCGTGTTATTGATCTTGATGGAGAAGTCAGGGGAGGGGGATAATTGTGGATAATATATAGAATTTTTTCTAAACAGTGGAAGCCAGTGAAGAGATTGACAGAGAGGGGTAACATGTAACAGCCAAATGAGCTGATATTAAGGTTGTGGGCATAAACCTCGAGCCTCAGAGTCACAACCTGAGAATTCCCAGGCAAATAATAACTTTATTAAATTGTTTTATTAGCGCTTCCAAGTAAAGTGACAATTGACCTGGAAGAAGAGCTGGAGGAAGGACAACGACATGAAGTCACCTGCACTGTGTTTGATGTGGCACCTTTGGCCAATCTCCAGATTTCTGTGATAAGAGGAGGGAAAGTGATCCGCACACAAACATTTGTAGAAGACACCATGACAGGCAAGCAAACTCTATCAGAGTCATTTTACTTTGAAGCCAGTCGAAGGGACAACTTTCAAGACTTCTACTGTCAGGCCACCTTAGAGCTTGGGACAGTCGAGGATAACATGGTACAGTCTGAGAAAATCAGTGTGAAAACATTTGGTGAGTACTGCTTCTAAAGTTCATTGCATAACATATCCCTGAAGTAAAACTAAAGCTGTTTACGAAGGCTCAGGGTGAGCTGTCCACAGAACGCTACGGAGCACTCTGTAAATTTGCAGAGCATTTCATGAGATTGTAGAGGGCTTTGTGAAATAATAGATTGCTCCTTTAACTTACAGAGTGCTCCATACATTTAAGCATTCAATAATTTTGCAGAACATTCCATAACTTTGCAGAATGCTCCATACGTTTTCAGAGCACTCCATCATTTTGCATAATGTACCATACATTGCATAATGCTCTATAAATTTGCAAAGAATGCTGGGAATTACTGTCTTGTTGCTGTTGTGAAGTAAAAGTATTAGTTTTGTGATTTTTTTTTCTGTCAGTGTTTTAGAAGACTCCCTGATGAAATCATTGCAGTGGTGGATTAACCATATAACTGGTCATGCATGGGGGTCAATGTAGATGGAGCACCCCCCTGGTTAGGTGCTAGGATCTGTATAGTCAGGATAAGTATAGCTGTGTTTGTTTAACAGAGAGGCTGTTAGGTAAATTCAATTTGCTATTCTGCTTAACAGAGTGTTGTAATTGATTAGTCAGGTCTGCTCATGAAGCTCTGGTGCTATTTGAGTTTGTCTTGAGCTCCACCTGCCTTCAGGAAGTTATGAGAGCCTTCCAGATCATATGTAGGGGCTGGGCAATTGACAACATGAGTATAGATACAGCCCTGGCCTAGGGGAGGGTGACCCTCTGGGAGTGGTATTTATGCTCTGTGAGCACATGGGCTCAAGGTCTTTCCTGGAGAGGCTGGAGGTAGGCTTGCCTCACCTGGCACTTGCTGCCAATACGGCCCCATTTGGGTGACCTGAAGGCCTGAAGTAGTGACCCGGGTTCTTTGGTAGTCTGACTGTGGAGAGCTGTCTGTCCATTATCTGTCTGGTATCACGGCAGGCTTTCGCTTGGAAGTATGGAGGGAGGCTGCCATTCTGTCCTTGGACTTGTGAGTACAGACATTGAGAGATCTTGGGGACTCTGTGTGCTTGGCTACCCCTCTGGTGCTTAATAGTCATCGTGGGTCTGAGAAAAGGGAACAGTGGCTGGTGTTCTGAAGAGCTTGTCCAAATGTTGCTACTGCATGGGACCAGCCATTTTTGGACTGCCATAGTCTGCTGTAACAGGCTTGTACCTGAGGATCTTTGCCCTGCTACTACTACCACTGCTAAAGGGACTTTGAGCACACCTAAATACTTGTTGCTACAACCTATAGAGAAGTCTGTTATCTGCTTTCAGCCAGGACTTCAACAGTGCTTAACTAAGAGACCAGATAGATGTCTCAGTGTGAATAGTTCTAATTTTGGAGTATCCTACTAATTTCCCAATCCCCGTTCCCAGTTCTACAATAAAACTCCAAAAAACAACATCCCCTAAACTGGTCATTGGAGACCACGAGCAGAAGTGTGTATGTACACCTGGTTATGGGAAAATCGTTGCACCTGGCTGCAGGGGGAAAAAAAAAAGGGGAGACCTGGGCAAAAATTCAAACCGCTCCTGTGGGGGTAGCACTACATACACAAACATTAGTGTTTTTCTTCTGATGGGTTTAGAAGACGATGTTTGAATTTTGAATAGGATCTCAGGAAGTGGTATACCCTTTGCAAATCACTCCTAAAGTATGATGCTGACAGACAACATCAAAACAATGCTTCCAAGCATGCAATGAACATTTTTATTGTTTTTGATCATGTGATAATAATAATAATGAAGAAAAGCTTTATGGAGAGGAATACTAAAAGCTAACATTGTCAATCACTGTCTGAAGAAAAGGCCATAGAATTGTAAAGCTGAAACTGGCTTACTATAGAGAGCTAAAGTACAGTACCTTTTGGCATCTCCGTGGGCCCCTCTAGAGTCTGTGGCCTCAGACAGTCACCTATTGTGTCCCTAATTATAATCTGCCAATGGGTTCAGACAGCAGTAGCAGGTGATATTCCTTTCACTGACAACAATGATGGGGCATTATTCCTTCCACTGATACCAAGGATGGGCCACTATTCCTTCCACTGATACCAAGGATGGGCCACTATTCCTTCCACAGAAACCAATAATGGTGCACTATTCCTTCCCCTGATACCAACAATGGGGCACTTCTCCTCCCCCTGACGCCAATGATGGGGAACTATTCCTCCCACGGATACCAATGATGGGGCACTATTCCTCCCCACTGATACCAATGATGGGGCACTATTCCTCCCACGGATACCAATGATGGGGCACTATTCCTCCCACGGATACCAATGATGGGTCACTATTCCTTCCACTGACACCAACAATGGGGCACTATTCCTTCCCCTGATACCAACAATGGGGCACTTCTCCTCCCCCTGACGCCAATGATGGGTCACTATTCCTCCTACTAATACCAATGATATGGCATTGGTAACTCCCATTGATGCCAGATCATTTTCTACTCACACTGGGCACAGTCCTGCCCCTTCATAGTCAAGGACAGTGAATTGCTTTTTTGTTTAGAAAGTTTGGAGACCCCTTCCTTAATCCAACAACCATGGAATGTGTCTAGACAGATGATGATTGTCCAAGGATAGGTCATCATTTTTGACCCACAGCTAGGAAAGCGCACAGCTGCATGAGGGTAAATACAGAGGAACCTTAATATACAAATTGCTGAAGTTAATAGGTTAAGCAAGCTTTTAGCAGACTTGAGCTCAAATACTATTGTTAACAGGATAAGTCATTATGTATCCAGGGAGAGAGGACTGTTTTGTGTAATCAGAAAGAAACTTTGAATTGCTGGCATTAGATCAATCGTTTTAAGGGCTGGCATCTTGACACTGTAATTTCGCTGTTATATGGACAGTTATAAGTGAGAGATTGTGTAAGCCAAAAAAGGGGCTTGGAAGTGGATAAGCAGCATTAGAAAGACATTTATAGATAAGTAAAGGATACTAGAGTCAAAGCTTAGTGGGTAGGGTAAAGGAATGCTGTCACCTTGCCCATTCAGGCCAACGTGACAATATCTTCACATAGCTCTCCCCCCAGACATATATACTTACTCTCCATATGCTTCTCCACCTTCCCACCTCTATATCCTGTTTGTGATTGGTGTTGGAACTCAGACAAGAGGATGATATAATAGCACCTCCCTGGTTACATTGTTTGGACCTAAATTGGACCTTGTCCAAAATTAGTAGCATTGGGCAGGCCACGTGCTCCATAATACAAAAAAGGGGGGTCGTGAAAAGATATAAGCAAAAAAGTGGTTACATCATGGACAGAAAACGATACTCAAAATAATTCCCAAAAATTATGCTTTACTACACAATAATTATAGACAATAGGGTAAATACCCCGGTTCACCATCACCTCAGTATGAGATAATACAAAAAAACCTAAAATCACATAAAAGCAACATCAAGACCGGTCTTATATATTAATGTGCTGCATATGGAATGACAGAAACCTGTCTAGTACATTTGCAGCACCAGCACACTGGTTACACCACCAGCAGGGGGTGTGTCAAAAAATTGTACCATCAGGAATAATATGCTATACAATGCTATGCAATAATGGCTGATAACAGGCACCATAAGATTACCCATAAGATTACCCATAAGATTACCCATAACCCCATCAAGGCAATGTGGGTGAAAAATTGAAAATATAAGTGGGGATATGGATGTTCCTATAATAACAGGATGATTGGAATACCGCCCCTATTCAGGGCATGAGTGAGTGGTGAACATGTAGATTCACAGTGGACATGTCCATATGTATAGATGCAGAGTCAGTCATGAAGGAATCATTGTTGGTATCCTTAATAAGATAAAGATGATAAAGATGGCAGGGCCCTGCTTCACGGGGTTTCTTCACCGCAACGTGCGGACAATAAACCACCTTTATGTAGATGATAGTGTGAAACCTGCTGGGTCCTCTGTCTCTTGTAATGTATAAATGGTGCCTTGCACCTGGATACTGAATCATATTGTGCCCATCCTGCAATAAATTAATGACAAATGGACAGTCAATCAATATGTACTCTTGCTGATGTACGTGTGGAGTGGCGAATAACGCCTTTTCATCTAGCTGTGTGACAATTCACTCACCACCCGAGCCATAGGTGATACTTTCTGGAAGTTTCCTCCGTCTGGATTACCAGGCATAGTCCCGGGGACAGCCGCTACCGTCGGGACTGTAACTGGCAGGCTCCATTCTCCCCTTGGTGCCTGTGCAGCCTTGTACAACTCGTGGCACACAAATATGGCTGCTTCCCTGCTGGTCAGCGTGTATGGCGCCAATGCGTATGACCAGAAGTGACGTATCTGACATATGACGTCAACGCGTTTCGCCGATGGGCGTATCTCACTCGGCTTCGTCAGGACCAATGTGCTGGTGCTGCAAATGTACTAGACAGGTTTCTGTCATTACATATGCAGCACATTAATATATAAGACTGGTCTTGATGTTGCTTTTATGTGATTTTAGGTCTTTTTGTATTATTTCATACTGAGGTGATGGTGAACCGGGGTATTTACCCTATTGTCTATAATTATTGTGTAATCAAGCATAATTTTTGGGAATTATTCTGAGTATCGTTTTCTGTCCAAGATGTAACCACTTTTTTGTGAATCTCTTTTCACAACCCCCCTTTTTTGTATGCATGTTTTTTGGTTACTGGGCAGAAACCATATATTGGGTGATACAGTGTATTTATGAACCTCTACCCTCTCTTATTCCACGTGCTCCATAATACCTGGAAATACTGCCCCCTTAGTGATCGTCCAATAGTGGAGGGAGGTGGTGAGAAAGCATGGCTGGGTCAGTATACATGCCTGGAGGCGATCTACATACAGATAATGTCACTTTGCTCTGAATGGATGAAATGACAATGTCTCTGAGTGCAGTCCTATGATTGACATTAAGTGTTGGTGGGGGTAGTGTTACAGACTCACTTTAGAGGTTAGATTAAGTGTCAGGATCGGTTAAAAGTAAATTTGAAGGGTTCTACTCAGTTTCATTTTAGGAGATAGGGACAGTTTTGGAATTTTAGGATTCTTGGTTGTTATCAATGCCAACAGCTCTATGTTAACAGTTACTGCTCCTAGTCCACAGCTGGCCTCATCACCTTAAAAAAAACTATTACTAAAAAATACAAAACCAAAAATGTTTTTTTTTGAAAGACAGACTCTGTGGACCACTTTTTTGCTATCACTATTCTATATATCTGTTTTTGTATTTCAAAAGAGTTTTTCTTTAATTAATTTATGTGTCCAAAATATATCTTCTTCCTCAGCAAGACCAGAGTTTCCAGCCATTTCAATAAAACCTGCTACGACTGTCAAAGAAGGTGAATCTGTAACCCTGACTTGCCATTCTGAAGGATTACCCCAGCCTGAGTACTCTTGGGAGCTTCCTGCCAATGCTCCTGTGACTTACTCCCAGGATAAAAGTACAGTTACTATAGCCAAAGCCACTTTTGCACACAAAGGTAGCTACCTGTGTGTGGCCAAGAACAAACACGGAAGAGTTCGTAGTGAGAAGTCCTTGGACGTTGTAAAAAACCCCGGAGGTAAGCAATGTTCCTGATTAATTATCCAGTAATATGATGAATGGGTCAGCTTCCAGGTTTTACTGCCAAAGCTTAATTTATCAAGCTGAGGTTAGAAGCGGATTGGTTTCTGTGCAGAAGTGAGCCTGATCGTGCACTCTCCAGCTTTGGTAAATAAATCCCTATGAGTCTGTCATAGCTATTATAGTCAAACTCACAATGGTAGCACATGCAGATGCACAATCATTTTTTTTCATAATCATTAGTCCCACTAAAAATATACCTTATCCTAGTGATGATCTAGGGAAGGAGGCTGGTCAGGTCAGCAGAGATTTTGCTTGCTCAGATATGAACCCAAGAACTTTCTGGGGAATTACAAAGTGTCCACCTGGGAGCCATTGTCCAAAATGCATGTTGGGGGTTGTCTTACCTTGTGCCTTCTCCCACTTCTATGTTCTCAAAGGAAAAGTACAAAGTATTCTTATAGTATGATTGTGACGGACCGCCTGGCACCCAAGACCTGGGTGCTTCTGTCAGAGAACTGCTTCCTCACTGCTGGGACACAGGACCAAGTATTTATAATTGGGTATTGAACCCAAGACTAGGCAACACTAGCTTAGGTACAAAACTGAACAGAAATACAAGTTTATATACACTTCAGAAAAAGGGGCAGTTCCCACATGAACAATAAAAACAAATATAGCACATTGGAATAAACATCCCACACTTAAGGTAAGAGCTTGATCACATTATCCTAAACAGTGCAAATGGTAAACAATACAGCCAACAGCTAACAATGATCTACCATATTTGCCGGCGTATAAGACGACTTTTTGACCCTTGAAAATCTTCTCAAAAGTCGGGGGTCGTCTTATACGCCGGTACACATGTTAGGGGGGCTGCGGCATTAAGTACAGGGGTTTGCAGGGGCTGATGTCTCTTACCTGGATCCAGTCCCACGACGATCCCGTCCAGGAAGCGCGGCCACTGGATGTTCGTGCGGCTGCTCGGCTCCGCCTCCTCACCGGTGATTGGCCGCCAGAACTGTAGCTCAGGAAAGGCACACAGGCGGCCAATCACCGGCGAGGGGGCGGAGCCGAGCGGCCCCGCGAAAATTGAGTGCCGGAGCAGCAGGTAAGTGTTCTGTGTAGAGGTGCTGCTGCAACCACATATGCTGGCTGCAGCAGCACCATACGAGAACAGGGTCAGCAAGTCTCAGTGGGAGGAATAGTGCCCCATCATTGGTGTCACTGATACCAATGATGGGGCACTATTCCTCCCACTGATACCAACGATGGGGCACAATTCCTCCCACTGACACCAACGATGGGGCACTATTCCTCCCCCCCACTGACACCAACGATGGGGCACTATTCCCCCCCCCCACTGACACCAACGATGGGGCACTATTCCACCCCCCACTGACACCAATGATGGGGCACTATTCCACCCCTCACTGACACCAATGATGGGACACCATTCCTCCCACTGACACCAATGATGGGGCACTATTCCTGCCACTGATACCAATGATGGGGCACCATTCCTGCCACTGATACCAATGATGGGTCACCTATTCCCCCCACTGATACCAATGATGGGGCACTATTCCTCCCACTGACACCAATGATGGGGCACTATTCCTCCCACTGACACCAATGATGGGGCACTATTCCTCCCACTGACATCAATGATGGGGCACTATTCCTCCCACTGGTGTGCATTGGAAGAGGGGTAGTCTTATACGGCGAGTATAGCCCAAACACTACATTTTAGCAGGAAAAGTAGGGGGGTCGTCTTATACGCCCAGTCGTCTTATACGCCGGCAAATACGGTAACTAACAATAAGCTAATCAACAGCTAGCAACTAACATGTAACAATTATTTAATTAACAGTAAGCTAATCAACAGCCAAGCACCCCGACAATCCAGGGAGCCCCCCATATGGAAGAAAAATATATTTGAAATATATTTTAAAAATATTCTTCCCAAATATATTGACATATATTTGAAATGCTACAATTTTGACCATATTCAATATATTTCAAAATATATTTCAATATATATATATACTGACTGCACAATTTTTAAAAATATATATTTTTTAAATATATTCTTCAGATTTTTTTTAACATTTAAAAAAGTCATTTTAACATTTATATTAACATATATTTGTAAATGCATTCCGAAAATGTAGATTTGTATTTTTAAAGACATACAGTATATTTGACATGTATTTTTTTAAATATTTTTCATATATTTTGTAATAAAAATGCATTTCAACATACAGTGTGTATATATATATATATATATATATATATATATATATATATATATATTTATTGAAATATATTTTAAATATATTCAATATGGTCAAAATTGTAGCATTTCAAATATATGTCAATATATTTTGGAAGAATATTTTTAAAATATATTTTTCTTCCATGTGGGCCACCCCAAACAGCCCTGTACTTCCAACCCTGAATACACAACATAGATTACACATGCTGCCTTCTTTCAGGTGTTTCCTTTCAGTCATATAGTCTGTCCATCAGAAGACAAAACAATATTCCAACAGTCTGAAAAAGTGGAATTCATCTATCCTCATAGATTTCTTGATTAACCTCAACTGCTATCTTGATTAAGAAGAACTGCAGTTCTACTTCGAGGTATTCCCACACAGTCAAACTCATTGTATTAGGTAGAAGTGATTATAGCCATTTTAGTTTCTGTGTACTGTACATGATTTTGTTTTTCTTTATTTGCACTGATCAACTTAATTCTTTCAGTCTTCTTTAACTGCAACGATAAATTCTCACCTAATCTCTATGTAACAAGCAGTCCAGGGGCGGACTGACAATTCATGGGGCCCCCGGGCAATAGGGGATCATGGGACCCCTGTATCCTTGCCCAAACTCAAAAAAGCCTATGAAAAAGGTACAAGGGGCATCTCATGGTGCCCCCTACTGACCCCAGGCCCTCGGGCAGTGCCCGAGTTTCCAAATGGTCAGTCCGCCCCTGAAGCAGTCTGATTCTGTGGTACAATCGCATGGAGGTGAAATCAATAGTCATTTATCCAAGGTTGCCGGGCCACCAGAAATGTATCATGTTTATCTAAAAGGGTAGCAGTGAGTTCATCATAAAGGAAAATAATACAGAGATCCAATATATGTAAGCTGAAAATACCAATTTATATCCCCACGCTTAAATGAAGTTGGATACTAAATGAACCTGAATTAAATAAAATATAACAAAGCAGCTGTTTTGAATAATATTAAATATACAAATGTATGAGTAATTAAGGCCGTCCTCATAAACAGCACTCAATCAGAATGACATATATCTAATATAAGTTAATAATCACTAAAAACATGAATACACAGATATTTAGAAGGAAGATAAAGACAAGACTTTCACCACGGTGTATAAACGTGAATAAAGTTCAGTTTGCCTGATCCGTGTAATATTCCTTTAGGCAGTCCAATACACCACCTTTGTGATCCTGCAGTAATTACTCATACATTTGTATAATACAGAGATCCACCAACTGTCTTGGTCTTTCTTTGACACCTATGTGCTATACTCATCTTTCACACAGCCAGTTTCATCTAGATGAGACAGTGTTACTGTTGTAACCTATTCATTAAGTGGAAGCTGAATAATGGCTTTAATCTGTTATTCTAGTCCAGGGGTCTCCAAACTTTTCAAACAAAGGGCCGGTTTACTGTCCTTCAAACTTTAGGAGGGCCAGATTGTGACCAGTGGGGGTAGAGAATGTTCCAGGCCAAGCATCAGTAAAAATAAACACGGGGTACTATTCCTCCCATTAATACCGTTAATACCCATCATTGGTATTAATGGGAGGAATAATGTCCCATCATTGGAATCAGTGTAAGAAATAGTGTCCCTTTGTTGGTGTAAGAGGGAGGAATAGTACCTGATATCATAGGGAGGAATAGTGCCCCAAGGGCTGGATAAAGGCCAGCAAAGGGCCACAGTTTGGAGACACCTGTTCTAGTCCACCTAAATGTGTTAGTACATCTATCAATACTCTCTCCCCAGACAAACAATGTTGCTGTCTAAAAGGTGTCTCTGTTGTTCCTCCAGTGGAGTGGAGACACCCCAAGACAGAGGCGCATCTGTCCGGAAATGGAAGCGGATACCTAACAAAACCTGGTACCCACTCCTCCTCAAAAAGTGCCAAATATGGCCGTGGAAGGGGGAAGATACAAACAAACGGAACTTCCGCATTTGGGTGAAGTTCTGCTTTAAGGACTAATGAGCTTATTTCATAAGGCAGTACAGATCAGTGGTTTGAAGTAAATGAATTATACGTTTTGATCAGTGAGAATCTGGAAAAGTGTTACTATGGGGTTCTGTGCTTTGAACTTGGCCCCAAACCTTATTCAGTAAGGAACCCCTTAAGAAAGTAGGATATTAAAATGAAACTCTACCTTAGGATCCTTTCACATGGATGTTCCATTTTTCTTCTTTAGTTCAGTCACGTTTTTTCAGGATGAGTTTACATTTGTTTTTTCACCAGTTTTTCCATCTGTTTTTCATCCGTTTACATCCATTTTCATCCATTTACATTGGTTTACATCCGTTTTTCATCTGTTTAGATGTTTTTTATCCGTTTTCATGTGTTTACATCTGTTTTTCAACTGTTTAGATCCATTTACATCAGTTTTCATCCATTTACATCCGTTTTTGGTGTGTTTACATCCGTTGACATCGTTTTCCGTCCATTCCAGGTTTTTTTGCTGAAGAAAAATAGGGTTTTCGGATGTTAACGGATGCGGACATTAACGGATGTAAAAAGATGTTCATCCATTTACATCCACAAGTCCATAGAAATACATGGGGGTCCGTTTTTCATCCGTAAACAGATGAAAAACAGACATACAGAACGCCTGCGGGAAAGGGGCCTAATACCCTTTTTGTATGACATAGAGAAAAATCTTGGTTAGACTTTAATTGCTGCCTGTGTGAATTGGGGAGCTAACACTTCACATTCTGTGCAAATACCAATACATGCAGTGAGGGGAATCTTTCCCAATGGAAGCTATTTCAGTTTTTTACGCTTGGCTGTATCCCCTTGCAGATTCCTGTGTACAGGACGTGAGACGAAATCTCCCACATCTCCTCATACTATCCAGAACTAAAAAATACATTTTTGCTTGCTCTTTATACCAACGGCATATACTGTATCTTCTTGGGATTCCAAAATTAAAACCCAATTCTAGCCCAAACCACCATTTTTCTTAGTTTGCCATAGCAAGGATAAGAGTCAAAACATCTGTCAAGTTTTTATTGCCTGTATCCTCACTGGGGAGTTTTTTTTCGTTAAACCAAGACAAAACATGCAAGTGTGTTGGTGTCACCTGCACAGGAGACACAGAGAACCATCAAAACCTGACCAAAGTTCTTATATTTTCACACTCTATCCAAAAAAATTATGTTATTGCTGTGTGTATCCTCATCAGAAGAATATCCTATTACTCCCTTCCCTAGTGACACCCAGCCTCAAGAACAGAAAGTGAGCTTATATCTCCAACTGGGACATGAGAAAAAAAGTCAGAGCTGGAAATTAGTCAACCTCACCTTGGTTGGGTGCTTGTATATATCTCTCTTGGTGGAGTTTTACAGTCTCTAGATGATATTGTAGTTCAAAATAGCAAAAAGCTCCAGGAACATACAGTGCAAAAGATTAAAGACCTAGTTAAAGAGAAACTTCACCTTCCCCCCTTTACATTTTTCCCCTTCTTACCTGCATCACGGGTTGTCCTTAAATAAATTAAATTTAATTCGATTTTAGATTTAATAAATCAGATGCCCAGCGAATCTAGCATTGCCTGCCGAAACCTCCCGCTCCACTACTTGATGCCAAGTCCCTCCCCACTATCTTCTATACTGACACCATTGAGAACCAGGTGTCTCTTCTAATGAGCATGCACAGATTGCCTAGTGCATGCGTACTGTGCTGCAAATTTCCCTGAAGCCTCCTGGGATGGGTGACATGAGTATTTCAGGAAGCTTCATCAAGGGGGAATGTCATTCACGCCTAGGAAAGAAACCAGAAAGTGTAAGGCTGGGGCTGACTGAAAAGCCATTAGATGGAAAAATAAATAATTTCTGATTGTGTTATAGGAAAAGGGGAGGGGAGGAAAAGTCTGTAAAGTACCTGTACAAGATAAATGTCCACTTGGACACATTTCAGTCATACCCAGTCTTAGTCATAACTTTAGTCATGACTAAGGAAGCCCTTCCATGGAGTGAATTTCTTTCCTGCAACCACAGGTCACTACAAATACAATGCTGACAAGGGAACCCCCCCCCCCACTACCCCCATGCAGAGCCATTGTATTCTCTCCGGCGGGGGGGGGGAGCCATCCCCACTGGAAGAAGACAGTGATTATTGTTAGTAGCTATACCTGCCGTTATGTAAAATCCAGCAGGCTGGTTGTACCCAAGTTCATTGATGGATCAACTTGGTACATTCAGCCTGCCCATCAATGGTGGGTGAGTCTGGGCTGGTTCCCGCTGAACCGGCTGAGATTAAAACCATTAGGCCGGCCTAAGGCCAGGAGTGCCTCAAACAAGTCAAATTTTAATCTTTTGTACTGTATATTCCTGGAAATTAAGTTTTTCTTTTTTGGACAACAGCAATAAAAATGTGACAGTGACTGTGTACAACACTCAAATTTGGAAGGAGTGGGGTTTTATGATCTCAAACCTAGAGTTCCTAGTTTCAATAGTGAACCCATCCCTATCCAACATTTTCAAAGGGTTTTTTCTAAGAAGTGCCAAAACGAAAACGCCAACAGGAGCAACGCCTGTTGGTTAGCTGTTGCTAATATGGAAAAAATATAGGCCTTAGGCTGGTAGAATGCTTTGAGACCCTTTTGATTTTGGTGGTGTGACAGTTGTGGTTTAAAAGCACATATACATTTTCAAGAGGAAGCCAAAAAGACCAAGGTACTGCAGTGGAAGCAGCTGATTGGTGTAGTTTCCAAACAGAAAGTCCATCCTTAGCTGGAAATGCCATGGATTTTATTAATTTCTTACTGAAAATGTAAATCCTCTCTCAGTGTATGAATGAATATGTAGCACTACCCCCTTAGGAGTTGCTGAGAATTTGGGTCCCAATGTAGTCCTGCACAGCCAGGCAACACAAACTTTCCACAGACTTGCATCCAGGAGTCAGTAACCAGTCCTTGAGCTTGGGTTTTTGGAATTTATTAGAGGAATTTCAACTTAGATGGGGTAAGTGGTGTATGGAATGTCCAATGGACTTGATAAACTGAGGATAACTTCCTGGAACATTTTACAAGTCTCTACAGCAAAACAGTCTCTTTTGGAGAGCTAGCCAGCATCTCCTGTAGTACCACCCTAGCCCCTAGATAAATCCTCTTCTTTACCCAACTGTCTGTAAGAATGGCTGAGCAGGGGATCTAGTGACTGTCACTTAAAAAAATAATATAGTCCCAGTAGGTGCCAGATCTGGTTTCCCACCAGAGTGCTCCTTAGGCTATTTGGCCCAGGGGGTGCAGGCTTACTCACTCAGTTCTTCTCTTATGCGGCTGCTGGGTTGGTGGCTGCTACCAGGCCTTCTAGCTAGGCCACTCCTTCTCTGTTGCACAGGTGGTCCTCGCTCTGGGGGCTGGTGAGGGTCTGCGTTTTCTTCCTTCCAAGCTCCACTGCCTGTAGGTGGGAACCTCTCTCCATCTGGGCCCCCTCCCAGTCTCCTGTATTCAGCCCTACATCCTCTCTGTCTTCCACCCAAACTCTCCTGCAGCTGAGCAGGCTCTCTTATTTTTAAGGGTTGTCCTGGCCCCTTGCCTCCTCCAGGATCCCACAAAAGTGCAGGTCAGCCTCTCCTCCGATCCACCCACTACTTCTAGACATCTATCCAAAGTTCTAGAGCAGGGGGAAGTTCCAGAGGGCTGGTCTGCAGAGCCTCTCAGCTCTGACCAAAG